CTATTGATCAACCAACAGCATATAAATTATATCCAGGTGATAATTGTATACCATTGAGTTCAAAAAAAGCTTGGTGGCGTAAACGTGCTAGTTTTGTTGATTATCATGTATGGGTCACACCATATGATGAAAACGAAAGATTTGGATCAGGAAATTATCCAAATCAAAGTCAATGTGATATTGGTTTATTAAAATATACTGAAAAAGATCGATCAATTGTTGATAAAGATATTGTTCTTTGGTATACATTTGGTGTAACACATATACCAAGACAAGAAGATTTTCCTGTCATGCCTGTTGTTATATGTGGTTTTACTCTTAAACCTAATGGATTTTTCGATATAAATCCAGCAAGTGATATTCCAAAACCAATTAAAAAGACCGATGAAACATGTTGCAAAAACTAAAAGAACAAACAAGCAAACAAAAAACAATAAGAATAATATTTGCTTAATTTATTTTTGTTTGATAGATAATATATTTTATTGTGCTAATATAAAAGATTGATTGGAAAATTCATATGGTATTAAAAATAATAAAAGGAATAAATTTTCTCCGTTCTTTTTTGATCATTTACTTTTTTCGCATAATAATGACAGAACAGGGGTGATTGCCAAAAGATTTTATTCGAATGTGGTATTTTCGTTTTAAAAAATAGATAAAATGGTATATAATTTCATTCAATTAAGTTGCATGAACTAACATCCATCTTGCTTTCCGAGCAATTATAGCGGCTTATTTGTAAAGCCTTTTAGTTTTAGGAAGACTGCCTGTTTATAGTGAAACCTCTCTAATGTGCACACTATTGGAAATGGCAAAAAGTGATTATTATTGTGAAATTTTCGGCTTTTTTTTCGAAAGATGAGTATCCACTTGTAGTCATGCTTCTACTGCATAAAGTGATTTTTGCCTTTCTTTTCTTGTCTTTAGTTTAATTGTCCTAATAATCATTAGTTTTTCTCAAATAACAACTGTTTTTCAATTAAAAAATTATCTTTTTTAAAATAACTATGAAATGTGCTTTGAACAAGCTAGGATATAAATGCTAGTGTTCTCTTCTCTCACACCAACACTTTCAGGTTTTATTTTTATTTTTAATGTCGAATATAAGTACAGTATCTTTTAATTCATCTATAATTTTGTTAAATGATATCTATAAAAATAACTATAGGAGCCTATATGATCATCTTTCAAACTATGAAGTGCTATTTAAATCAACCGATAAAAATTTAGTTTTCATAAAATATAACAATAAGCAAAACATTATAATATATACCCTTGTTCTAAAGTAGAAAAAAATTCGACTTATATTTAATTGAGCAATAAAATAGTTGAGTTGAGCAATAATCAAATTTAGCAATAAATATTTTGAATGAGCAATAAATATATTGAATGAGCAATATATATATTGAATGAGCAATATATATAATGAATGAGCGATACTTATACTGAATGTGCAATAATTAGATGGAATGAACAATAATTAATCTAAATAAAACATAAAATGTACAGACTGGTCCATAAGTCACCCGACACTCTTGTATTGCGAATAACTTTTTATAGGAACCTCTTATAGACCTGCGGTTTTCACCATTTGAAAGAGCGATGTTTAGACCATCGATCTATATAATATTCACTAGGATGAAAGATGCTTTTACGTAGGAGCTTTTCAATTGAAATTCTTTTTTTTGTGCATTTTCAGAAATTTTTACGTTAATCTTACCTTAAATTACACCAAAATATAGCTCAAATCACCCATTTTTCGGTATAAAAGTATCATTTTATGCATTATTCCGTCGGCCTATTTTTGTCAAGTGCACCTTTGGAAAATATTGAGAATTGTATAGCGAAAAATGGATGATTTGAGCTATATTTTGGTGTAATTTGAGGCAAGATTAATGTGAAAATTTCTGAAAATGCACAAAAAAAAGAATTTCAATTGAAAAGCTCCTATGTAAAAGTATCTTTCGTCCTAGTGAATATTATATGGATCGATGGTCTAAACATCGTTCTTTCAAATGGTGAAATCCGCAGGTCTATAACATGTTCCTATCAAAAGTTATTCGCAATACAAGAGTGTCGGGTGACCTGTGGACCATCCTGTATTTCATTTTTCTTTTTGTTTCTTGTCAATTGTAAATAAAAATAATGTAGTTTTTCTCTTTTTTGTTGCTCAAATATGAAATTAATATTGTTATCTAATAAACTACTTATTGCTCATTTAATATTATAAAATTGCTCAAATAAAGTTTTTTTATTGCTCGAAAGTTATTGCTAAATCATGTTTTTATTATTGCTCATTCTAATATTTTTATTGCTCAAATAAATACAAGCCAAAAAATTCACAAAGAATCTATTTTAAAACGTTCATTTCTTTATACGATATACGATCAAGATAAAGCAATAAGTGTTATTTCGTGTTCATCGAAATAACTTAGAGGACGTTTTTTTGTTATATGTTTATTTAAGACACAGGGTTCATGAGACTACTGCCCAAACCTCCATCCGAAAAATTTTTAATTTTGAAATGAGTTACATCATTTGAAAGACAAAGAAAACTTCTGTTCAAAACCAAATGTTTACCTTTTTTCTGAAAATATTGTATTAAGAAATATGAAGGAATCTTTGAACCTACCTCGGGTCCTACTTTATGAATTTTTGAAAATTTTGAAGAATTGTAGAGAATTCTGTTTGACACTTTAGGACAACATAAATTACCATCGAAGGTTCTTCTCCCCCTTTTTTCGCATTAAATAACGTATCTTGATTAGATCTATTAAATGCACTATCATAGAATAAGAATCTTAAATGAAAATCGTGTTTAAAGGATCTCTAAAGCGTTATTTTTTATTGAAAAAATAGGCAAAATGACTATTGTTTACACAAAACTTTTATATTTTTGCCCTGAAACTATATCAGAGTAGTTCTCTCCCAAAACTCTTTTAACACTAAAAGATAGCCCGTGAAAAACTGTATCTTGTATGTATAGACCAACAAAATAAAATATGGAAGGCTGATTCAACTTTCAAGCACAAATATAGCCACTGCATGGTTTTTTTTCTATTTTCGTTACTTTTTCTTTGATTAATGCAAAGTTTTCTGATAGTCTTGTGGACGAAGACGTATAGACCATTTTAAATTCGTTTTCAATATTGAAACATGAGTCTATTGCTTTTTCAAAGAGTATTTTATCATAATTAGAAGAGTGTAAATGTGCGTGTGCGTGGATTGTGGGTTCTGCTGTAAAAAGGAGACTAACACCCACATCCATTTCAGCTAATATTCAAATTGAATTTGGTGGTCATGTCGATATGTTGAACGTAATATATCAATAATATATTGTTTTTCAATGTAGATGTTTCTTGAGATCGTGATATACATATACCCTAACCTTCACTATCACCGTGAGCGTCTACCAATATCTTGTAAAACGTCCATATCTTTTTTCTGATATAACAAAAATCTCTCGTTGCGATTTTCAAAATTTTCGAAAATATATTGGTCATTAATAACACCCAAGATATAACTTTCCTTTTGATATTTTGTCCCTTCTTCATTTGTGTATTAGTATGTACTGCACTTTATTTTTGTTTATTTTGCATGCCGTTATTCTTCTCCTTCGCTTTGTTCTTCTCCAAGAAAACTACTGTTCTGTATACCACGCTACAGAGAAGAAACATGATTGTTTGAAGGAAAACATATTCTTTTATTGTATTTTATTTTTTTGTTCCATACATCTGTGAAGAGAAGATCGAAAGATTATAATAAAAATAACAAATAGTAAAAATATATCAACATAGAAAGGTACTAACATTGATTAGTGTTTTTAATTCAATGTTGTTTTTGCTGAAAGCCCAAGGCACAGTTCTCCGTAACCAATATTGATATTATATTGATAAAAGATGTTCAAATTTTAGAACAAGATTGAACTTCTATTAATGAAATAATTGTTGAAAAAAATTCTATTGATTTTTGTCCTAGTGATAAAAGCTATATATTCAATTCATTTTCTTTCCACATAAAAACTGATCAGTAGAATAATATTATGTTATACAAGTGTATGAAATATTTATCTTTTACTACTATACAGCGTGATTCAAAAGTTACTCGACAGTCTTTAATTACGAATAGCTTTTGATAGAAACTAGTTAAAGAGTTGGAGTTTTCACCGTTCGAAAAAGTCTGTATTACTGCATAGTTCTATGCTTTATTTAATAATGTGGATTGATCGCAAAATAATCAGTCAGTGATCTTCAGAAAAACTCTGACGACTCTGTAAACATGATATAGAATAGAATGGCCTAAGAGTCACTCGGCACTATTTGATTGTGAATAACTCTTGCCCTGTTTGTCTCAATAAACTTTTTTCATATTTTTTATCTAGTATTTTTAGTGACGCTTCAATTAAATTTAGATAATTAACGATTGACGATTATTTGTCAACCGTTACGCATACATAGCCATTTGACATCGTCTTTTGCTATAGTTCATTCTCTTCTTTTCTATCTGCTCTTCAAATACTTCTTTCGTCCATAAATTGACTTATCTTCCGTTTCTATTAACTTAAGGACATATTTTCATTTCGTCTTCTAACAGAAAATAAAATCATGATAAATTTTTCTAGCTCTTACTATTGTAAAAATTCTTTTTCTTTCTTCTCAATAGACTGATTATTCATTCGTTCGATTGTTCGACAAGGACAATTTATCTAATTGATAGTGCACCATCTTAAGTTATATTCACTGATCATTGAACGTGTTAGACATATGCTCACTACAGAAAAATGGATGTTTGTGCTAAAAGCTTTCATGAAGCGAACAACATGAGTGAAACTGTCGCAGATATCGTTTATCGATTTGAAGAAAACGGTGCAGTTGCTGATAAGAAACGATTAGGTCAACCAGCAGTTGTTCGAACAGCAAAAAACAAAGCTGCTGTTAAATCTGCGTTTTTTTCAAAAGATTCTACAACATCAACAAGACATGCAACATTTATGCTCGACATTCCGAAAACGTCTATTGTATTCATATTATCTGACTTTTAATTGCGTCCATATCGATCTCACTTAGTGCGACAATTGCATGATGGTGATCCTGATAGAAGATCTGAGTATTTCTGAAAAACTTTTAACAATGACTGTAGAAGATGGCAACATTTTCATAATATCATTTGAACAGATGAAGCAATTTTTAAACCTAATGTACACCTCAACACGCATAACTCAATTCACTAGGCATCCGAAAATCCAACATCGATCTGCAGTGAGAGGGAATTCACCATTTCTAGGACCGCTGTTTGGATACGCCTGTTATCGTATGGTGCTATTGAGGCATTTTGCTTCAGTTTAACTGTCATCAGTGAGAGTTACATACAAATGCTATGGAATCATTTCCAGCTCGCAACTGCTGACTAATCAGATCTGAGTGGCTTTTGATATAAATACGATAGCATTTCGTCTCACTATAGTGAAATTGCGCATGATTGTTTGAACGAGGTGTTTCCTAGCAAATGGATATGGCGTTAAGGTCTAATCGAATGACCACCAAAGTCATCTGACTTGACAACACCTGATGTCTTTGTGTTGGGTGTTATCAAGAACGTAATTTAGTCAAATAAGCTAACGTTCCTTGATCAGCTGCAAAATAAGATTGTTTATGTATTAAAACCGAAGACTATCAATTAATTGTGGTCTGCACTTTTTTGAATAAAATGTTCTTCGATACATATGCTAAATTTGAAAAGAATAAGGAACAGAGATCAAGATTAAACAGTAATGAAAGACTACCAAGTAATTGTTAGACCATCTTATTCTATAGCATCTTCATAGAGACATGAATATTAAAAGTCTCAACTCCCTAACTAGTTTCTATCAAAAGTTATTTGTAATCAAAGACTCTCGGACAACTTTTGGACCATCCTCTATTTACTTTGTTTAGTTTTTGCGCTCCTTTTCAATGAAAATTATGGGTTTTTTTTGAAAGCACTTTGCATAGATCATTTAGTTATATACACTATTTATATCATAAGTTAAGTAATCATTGGAAAAATTCAGTAGATGAAAACAGAATTCAATTATTGTATTTATATAAAAAATTATTTGTATGAGTTTTGTTGCATATCCATTACCATGTTTTAAATAATACCAGACTCAATTGGCTATTCTTGTTGCTCTTTGAAATTGGTTCCAATAAAAGAAGATAATGATTCAAAACATATGAGCATATTGACAGGAATAACTAATAGTTGTCTGTTCTAGTTTGAGAAGGGTAGTTTTTCTTACTTGGTTCTGAAACAACAATGGATTCCTTCTTCCAAAACTGTCAGTCATACTTATTGACTAATCGATTCTCTACCCTCTAATCTTGGTCATCTGGACACAATTCTGCGGATAGATACCCCTTTAATCGATGTTCCATCATAAATACAGAAGCACACTTTAATTGATATTTCATTAAGAAAAACAAAACACTTTTCGATTTGAACGTGAGACATTTGATAATATCCATAATTCGGGTATCAAGATTCACAACATAGCTATTACAATACTCATTCAATGAATTCTGGGTATTCATATACCACTAAATGAAAGGTTTTGAATGAATATACAGTAGCGAGATGGATACTCAGCTCTATACGTATATATTTTCATAGTTCAGAATCCTGAGACAAAGCTATAGGGTAGATTTTATACTGATACCCCAAACCTCATGCCTGGGAAGCAACACAAAGCCCCACCCTCACCTGCATTCTCATTCACACGCAGCTAAACGACACTGTATTCTATCATATGCACGACTATATTAATAATCTTATGGTGATGGCTAAATGCGGCCCTGATAGAATGTCATATTTCGCTGTTATCAGCCATACATAGTCGTATTCTTCAACCAAGAAATAGTTATCGATGAAAAGAAAGATGAAAGATAATGGCCAAATTATGATAAAGTAAGGAGAGGTATTTTGATTGGTTTGTAATTACTTGATACAGTTAGCCAGGTATCTTCGTCTTACACTTTAAGTTTAAGTATTTTGGTAGCATATTTTTTTCTCTCACTCTTATCATATGTACACTTGAAATCTGGCGATAAAAAGTGAAGCATTCTCAAACGAAAGATTACAAAACAATAACCAAAGACAACACAGCAGGTGTAAAGTGCTTATTACGTATCACATAACATTTAACTACTATTTGAAAATTAACAAATGACGAATCAACAAG